TAATATCTTATATAACTATTGTGGATGTTAGTTTAGATAAAAGAATATTAATATTCCATAACTGTTGGGTATTGATAGTAATTGTATGAATGATTGGTAATTACAAGAAAATTGAAGTTAGAATTAAACAATAAAGTAGCATAAAGAATCGAATGAGAAAATCCATAAACCCTAAATTCCTCTCCTATAAGTTCAATCAGAATGTGTGTTGTGTTATTTGTTTTTATTCATAATTAATTTTATAATTAAATTCTTATTATTATCTAATTTCGCATCTTTTAAGAGAAATTCTTAGTAATTGAATAATAATCTTTGAGACTATAATATGATAATATATTAAAAAAAATATTAATACTATATTAATTTTTTATAGATTACATTAATCACGCCTGCTAGACAATAAAAAAAATTATTTAACATTTAAAAAATATATAAGTAAGATTTGAAGTAAATATATATTTGTAAAGTCATTTACCTTACTTTTTTCTAGTAAGGTAAATGACCTGCAAAATATAAAATATATATAAATAAATAAATGATATCTTAAAAAAAACATTTTACTATTTCAAAAACAAAATAAATATCATTTAACAGATGTTATACTAATTTAATAATTATTCTTTATAATCACGTGACTATATTTTATATTTAATTAAAATTTAAATATTAATTTCTTATACATTTCAATTTAAAAAAATTTAAATATTTAATAAAATTTTTAAAAATATTTTAAATTTTTAAAATTATAAATACACACACCTTTCCGGTTAGAATTAATCTCTCAGATACTTTATAAACTAAAATGTATGCATTTAATTATAAATTAACATTTTAAATATTCTTGAATTTTATTCTCAAGTTTCTAACTTTTTATTTTAATAAATTTCTTAATATTTAAATAAATAAAATATTATATATTTTTTATACTCTTAAAAGAATAAATATATAATTTTTTTATTTTCAGATTAATCATCTTACACACTAGTATGATTTAATTATAAAATAAATATTTTATTTATTTTAATTTTTATTCCTAATCTTTCTACTTATTTATATATATATATATATATATATATATATATATATATTTTAATCATTAAATAAAGTAAGTTTCTATATATATTATACATATGGATTAAGGATAATAAATACATTAAAAAGGTAAATATATTTAATTATAAATTAATATTTAATGTGACTTATATATATTTTTGTTTAATATTTATTTTATAAATAAAAAATTATCTATAAATACGTGTGACACTCAACTAAAGATTTATACATAAATGGTAAAATTACTCTTTTTGCATCTTAATTTTAGAGTAAAATTTATTTTCATCTTCTAACTTTTTTGTGTGTGTTCATTTTAGTCTTCTAACATTTTAAAAATTTCAAATAGGTCATTTTTCATTAAAGATCCTAACTTTGTTAAAAAGTTTTGTCGTTTTGTGTCACTTATAATGTGTGTTACTATTTATTGTCTTCTTCCTCCGATCTTGTTTCTGACACCTTTTTTTCTTCCTTTCATCTTGATCTTCTTATACTCAAAACTCTATCCTCTTACCACGAATATCATGCACCAACCCCAAATCATAAACAAATCAACTTTCTAAATACTAATTTTTCATTTTTAACAGTTTATGCTTATTTTCATATTGTGTTTTAAGCTTCCAGAACACAATATTTTTGTTAATGAATGCTTAAAAGGTCATAGTAGCATGAAAATTCAATAAAATGAAAAATGGGAATATGCTTTCAAATCTATTGAATATTAAAAATAGGTATTAGAAAGTTAGGTTATTTATGATTTATGATTTAGAGGTGGGTGCTTGGTATTAGTAGTAAGAAGATGAAGCTTTAAGTGTAAAAAGATAAAGATAAAAGGGAGAAAGAAGAATAAAAGGCGCTGGAGACAAGATAGGAGATCTGAGAAGGAAGACAATGAACAGTAACACACAACACAAGCTACAAAATAAAGAAACTTTTTAACAGAGTTAGGGTTTTTAACGGAAAAAGACCTATCTAAATTTTTTTAAAAAGTTAAATGACTAAAATAACAAAAAAAAAAAAGTTAAGGAATAAAAGTGAATTTTACTCTTATAAATATGAAAACTACCTGTGTAACTTTAAAAAAGGGTATATATAACTGTTTCATGGTTAAACTATAGTTATTTTTGAGATTTGATAACATTTATTACAAGTATAATATTAAGAAAGGAGTGTGTATAATTATCATGTGAGCTTAAATCATGAGTGTTTCAGAAGGTTAGGTGACATCTGTATTTCTTTTTGCCTACTCTAGCCTTAATTAGTGGTGCATTATTCAAACTCTCATCATTGACTCTTATACTAAAATTAAATTATTATTATATCACAATCAATTTGTTTCTCATATCATTTTCAAGATTTTTGCCTAATTCTTCATCAATTCTCTTATCTATTTTCCTTTTCTTGCAATCATATGAGTAAATCATGCATGACACCCACTTTAGTGTATTAATCAAAGTAAAGAACCCAATTTACAAAAAAATCTCATTCCCTCCTTTATAGCATTCAAATGTGACACAAGAAATTTTTTATTCTCTTTCGTTAAAATGTTACGAGAAATTTTTATTTATTTATTTTATTTAATAATTTTTTTCGTATTTTATCATTGTACTTAACCTTTTGTATTCTTATTTTTTAAAATTTTTTTATTGTTATATATTTTATATTTTTTAAAATTAAATTAATATTAAGAAAATGAATAACATGTTCAATTCAGGTATTGTGCTTGACAATACAATCAGAATAAAAATGCAAGTTGCAAAAGACATTTGCAGCACTATTTCTTATTTTAAATCATCAAACATATTATACTTTCCTTTATTTTTCAAAAACCCATCTCAAAAGTAAGTTATAAAACTACATTGAAAAAGAAAGAAAAAAAATTCAAACAAATCCTAATAATTCAATTCTATCCATGTTACTATGTCTGATCTTTTTTCCGCATATTATATATTTATTTATTTTAATTTTTAATTTGATATGTTAAGTTAAAATCATCACTTATATGAATTAATTTCTGACAAATCGTTAAATTTAATATTTTTAAAATTGAACATGGGTTTAAATTTGTGTGTTTTAAATTTTTACTATTGCACGATAAATATTTATCTTTATTTGCATACATATGTTAAGGTACTTCAGTATAATGTTAAAAAAAAATTTTAAAATGACATGCTAACAAAATATTTGAGCATTTCAAAAACAAAATAAATATAATTCAACAGATATTATAATATTTGATTTTAAATTATGCTATTATAAAGTATTAACTAAAAAATACATGTATTTAATTATAAATTAACATTTTAAGTTCTCTTGCATTTTATTTTTACAAAAAAATTAATTACTTAATAAAAAGTATTTAAAATATTTTATATTTTCAAGATAATAAATACATACAAATTTTTATTTAAAATTAATTTCCTTATAAAGTAAATATTAAATAAAAAAATATATGCATTTAATTATCAAATAACATTTTAATTTAATTATATTTTTTATATGTTACAGATGCAGTATGGATTATGTGCTAATATGTTAATTTCTTTAGAATTATCTGGTAGTACTTCAGATTAGTGGAAGAACGTGATGTGGGTCTGTAAGTAAGTTAATGAATAGATAAATTTTAATGTCATACAAGTACTTAAAGATAATTGTTCTTTTAGTTTTTAGAATTATTTATTAATATATATATATATATTAATAAATAATTCTATTAAAAAATATATTAATGTATGCTATCAATATATTAAATAGTAATAAAAGATATTATACTAATATAAATCTTCAAAATCTATATTATTAGTTTATTTTTAATAAAAAAAAATATATCAATCATTCTATATAGAGATATCAAATGATATCAAACATCAAATGATTTATTTAATAACTTTTTATCAAAAAGTATTATTTACTAACTTTACTGTTTAATTTAAAATTGTTATAAAGTAGTTTAGATTGATAAAATTTTACATAATTTATAAATAAATTAATATTTTATCATCTCACTTAATTTTAAACTATCATAATTATTTAAGAATATAATAAATAATAATTATTAAATCATGTATTTATAAATGTTTAAATTGTGTAAAAGTTTGTTGTATACATGGTCATTGTGATAATATCACACAAATTAACTATTTATTTCATAAAGTTCATTTTAAATAAAAAAATAGTTGATAATATTCAAGATATGTTCTCAGAAAGAAATGATCTAGAACTAGGGATTTATTAATTATATTGTTTATGGAAGTGGAAAATCAATTCAAGAAATGTCTAATTCAAGGATTCAATTATTTTATACTTATTTTGACTTGGCATCAAGAACAAAAGAAATTATATGAAGAATGTTCACACTTTTATTTTTAAGCAATTACAAATAGGGATTTCGACTTAGTGAAATATCATATATGTAATGTAAGTGTGTGTCCTCAGTTAATAGGAAAAAGAGAATTCGACAAGTGGTTAATATCTTAATTTTCAAGCTTCCGTGACCGTGCAGCGTGGTGTATCAGCATCATTCGCATTACATTTGTTGTCTAGTGCTTCTATCCGACGCTGATACAATGACAATGATAGATCACTTAATATTCAAATGTCAAATTGTCATTTTATGTTTATAATTATGAGGGAAAAAAGGACATGGCAAATATTTTTCATTAATAACAACAACTAAAAATTAAGGGAGAAAGGATCGTGCAACAGGAACCCAATGTATGTCATTAATTATTATATTATATTAGAAGAACATATCTTACAATGTTGATTTTTTGGGCAAGTGAGAAAGCATTAAAGCAAGAAATCAGTAACATTCCCTTATTCCCCCACTTGGGTAGAGATCAAGACAAGCAACTTCCAATAAAAGGAAAATGAAAAACCATGGTAGAGGGCTTTTGTTTGATTCCCTATCTCGTTAAGGGTGGAAAAGGAACATCTTTATCTTAAACTGGTGGGCAAAGTGCAAGGTTGCAAGCATCACTCACAATGCACAGACAAAATCACCGCTTGTCTCAATATCATCGATGTCAGCATCTGCATCAATATCATCAAGGTCCATGCTGCCCCCAACAAATTGCTCACCAACTCTTGGGCCCTCACCTTGTTTCCGAGCCTCTTGAATTATGGACAGAATTTCTTCAATGCTCTGAGATGAATCATTCTCATCATTTTGCAACACCCCTTCACCCTCGTCCATAAATTCTAATGGCAAGTTCTTTAGGAACCATGGGTGCATTTTAATCTCTGGTATGGTAATTCTCTGCATGAAATAAATAATGTGCAATCCATAAAATTTGCTAGTAAATATAAAGTGTTACGTTATGCAACCAACATTCATAAATAATTGTACCTTCTCCGGGTTGGCCACAAATATTCGAGATAAAAGGTGCCTACACTCTTTAGTGATACGAACATAGTCTGGAATAGAATAGTGGACGCTAAGAATTCGCTGTCAAAATTATCCAAAAGAAATTAATAAATTGCGTGATTAATTAGTTAAATTACACTTGGACATTCAAGTAAAGGCAACTCATATTAATTTATTTATTAGTCCAACTAACCTGAAGTGTTTTTCTGAAGTTTCTTGGGTCTTCTGGGTCTTCAAAAGGATATGCACCAACCAGCATCACATATAAGGTCACCCCACAAGACCAAACATCTGCAACCTAATCATTATCAAGGATAAGAACATATTGGTGGCCAAATATTAACTCCAAATGAGTAAAACCACGCTTACATGATTGGAAAGGAAAAGTTATAAGCTATCAAGTTACCTTCCCATCATATTCTCTTCTTGACAAGACCTCCGGTGCAATATAGGCTGGGGTTCCTACAGTAGATTTTGGCTGAGAGTGCAGAACAGATGACTGAAGAAAGACACAAAACTCCATTGAGTAACTAGACTTTGAAACGTCTATGTTTAGTGAATTAAGTGACAAGTTCTTGCCTTTGAGTAACCAAAGTCGCAGATTTTGAGTCGTGGTGCTGAGCTTCCATCTAAAAGTGTGTTTTCCAGCTTAAGATCTCTATGGCAAATTTCCTGCAAGAAAAATATATCTTTAATTCAGCTAAAGTATCACCATTGAATTTGATACATGCATTCAATGAAATTAAAAAAAAAAAAAACCATTTCGATTCATATTGGAGAAGAAAGTGTTACCATTGAATGGCAATAGCTGACTCCAGAAATCAATTGCTGAAAGAAATATCTTGCCTATGCAAGCAAAAGAAGAATTTAGGATGAGTTTTTCCGTCTACAAGTATCTAGAATGTGAAATACTATGCATAAAATAAAATTAAAAGAAGAAAGTGTAGATACGATGTCCAAATTAAACAATAACAATCTTTTGTGCATATATGTATTTGGTTAAAGAAGAAACAGTACTCCTATGTTGTTTCATGCAGAATGTACAGTAGAAGCAATCTTTATTATTATTTAGGAATCTAGAGAGTTAATATAATGGACTCTTAGACAAAAGCACTATCATAAAGTCCTTCAAGCTTTCTGTTATCAATTATGAGAAATGATGCATAAATCTAATGTACCTCGTCCTCGCTGAATCTACCAGCACTACAGATTCTTTCAAATAGTTCTCCCCCAGCAGCATATTCCATGACTATTGCAAGATGAGTTGGAGTAAGTAACACCTGTGATGAATGGCCATTTCTTATATTACAAATTGGCATGAAAAGCAAGATGCAATAAGCAATCACGTACACTAGAGAAGGAATTTAAGAAATAAATTTGAAAAGTTTCGAGTACAGTTCCTTTTAAAAGATTCTGGAAATTCCAATCAAGGAAAACCAAAAAATAAACACTGAATAGGGACTTATTTAAGATACTAATTACAAAGGAGATGCAAAGAAATCATTCTCCCACTATTCATCACGAATATTTATTCTTCTATGGAACAAAGCTGAATGAGGGACAATATTGTTCTGCCTCTGCACACACCATGATGAATGGCTAAATGCCACCACGAATGAACAATATTGTTTAGGTATGTATGGAATTGAAACATATATATTTCCCAAAAGTTGGTAAATAATAGCGTAATTATAGACTCAAAGGGTATGATTTCTTTCAGAGAAGACAAATAATTATACCAACGCCTTTGAGTTTATGTTCATTGAGACCAAAAATGGCTCTAATTACCTCCTTGAATCTAATGATATTGGGATGCTTCAAGGACCTATGATTTATAATCTCCCTTTGCACGTGCTCGTCAATCTGTAAAACTCATAGAACTTCATTAACTAAGGACAATTCAAAGTGTATATGTGCAACATATAACGAAGAAAAGATACATGGAGCACAGAAATGGAGTTAAAAAAAGAACCTTGAAGCCTCTCTCAATAAACTTGACAGCATATAACTCGCCACTGCATTTCTCCCTTACCAGCTTTGCCACACCAAAGTTCCCTGACCCAATATCTTTAATTATCTCGTACCGTTCCATGATTAAGCTTGCAAGCTTGAACTCTATATAGCTATCAAAAACAGGTTATTGTATAAACTGAAGAAGTATTAGTTAGCCAGAGAATTGGACAATCTTCTCTTTCTATCTTTCTTTGCTTCTTGGACTTGTACTAGTTGTTTGCGTGCAGCATCGCATCTTTTTTATGGCCTCCAAATTCCAACGCGCAAAAGCTTGCAAAAATAAATAAATAAAAGATGATTGGATTTTGGGTTTAGATCATTAGACACCCTTTACTGCAAATTACAATTGGACTGTCACTATGCCTTCAGACACAGGACTTTCGATGTCAGAAATATTTATGAGGGGGGATATATCTTCTTTCACCATTTCTTAAAGATTTTATTAATTAGTGGTTTAAGATGTATTAATTAAAGAATTAATAAGAATTTTTTTCCTAAGATTACATCCAGAGTGTATTAAATGATAAAAGTGCAGTATTAATTATTTTAATTCTTTAATTAATTATTATTAAGAAAATAATACATAAAAAAATAATTGTATTTAATAATTAAAACATAAAAAATATTTATTTTTTTCATATAAATGTTAGAGAATATTGTAAAATGATTTTGAATCGTTTAAAAATCATGTCATTTATCAAGTAATATTGTATTTTACTCATATTAGACAATTTTTAGAATCATATATCTACTAATAGCATTTTTAAGTATTTTATTAATTCAAATCAAGTCAGATAAAAAACTATAAACTCAAAATTCATTTTATAAGTTAACTAGAACTTAAAATCATAGATTAAATTTGGAATAAGATGCCCTGAAATAAAATGAAAAATAAATCTGAAATGAATCATACAGGAACGACCAAAAAACACGTGGCATACATTCACTGGTGTAAACTAGCAGCAGCCAAACAAAGATTTTGATCCAACGATGCAGTCGATTGTTTCCAGGCCAAACGTTGGGCAGCGATAGCGACGGGTACTCGCCCATCCGTGAACGTGCGTGCCCAAACTAAGAACGTGGGTCAACAGACGTTGACCATTTCAAGCGTGAGAAACGCGAGTAAAGAATTGACATACTCTCGGCGAGTGGGGTATGAGTGCGCAATAAAGAGAGCTATATGCGAATGAAGGAGGGGTGTGAGTTACGACTTACGAGGTGAAGGAGAACAGACAGGTGAGGTCATTAGCCATGCTTGAATTATCTGACACCGCATTATTACAATTTTACAATGCATCATGTTCTATCACTTACATGTGGTAAGAAGTAAATACAACCACGTATATTGTTGATGTATAAAATGGTATCAATTCAAGAAAATGTTAATATCTTAATGGCCCATTTTAAATATTTAAAATAATTAGTTTTAGTAATTCTTTTACATGTTTAAAATTAGTCTTAAAGATTAATGATAATAAAATTCAAATTTTTAAAATGTAGAAGATAATACTAACTTAATTGATAAAATTATTTTAAAAGTATCAATTTTATTTGATGTAATATTATTTTAATGATTTAAAAATATCAATTGTATTTGATATTCATGGAACAATTTTGAGTGTTGATTAAAGTAAATTAAAATTTTATTAAATAGCTAGCTAGAAAGAGAAAATGCTCATTTATTTTAATAAAAATATAAAAAAACATGTGTCACTTAATAAAAGAGACGTGTAGATATGTTAAAGCAAAAATAAGAATAAAAATTGTCTTAATATATGATAACATGTGTACTTTGTAACATGCATTTTAAGTTATACATCAAATCAATTGGTATTTTTCATTTAAAAAAAAAATTATTCAATATTATGCAGAATGAGACATTTGTCAGTAATTGTCAAATACCGTTTTATCATTTAAAACAATTTTAAATTAAAAGTTTTAAATATAAAATTAAAATTATTTTTTTGTTAGCTTGTATTCATTCATTAGTAAAAAAAATATTAATGCATATCTTAATATTTTATTCATATCTGAAAAATTTTGCATGATAGAATGATATACTTAGAAAGGAAGATAATAACATATGGGTCTTCAGTGACGGCAATTTATTGTATATTCGATGAATCTGGAATTTATGTATCTGGTCTTTATTTTTGTTGAGACAGAGGTTAATGTTTCGTTCACCTGAACCATACCTCGCCCCAGTTCTGGTAGTTTGTCTTAGGATGGCACAGTTTTAAGGGTGACCCTATTACTATCCCAAGAGATTTAATGCTATTTTTAAAAAAAATTAATTTATTTATTTATTTATTAGATTGACACTAGAAACCCATTTAAAAAGTATACGCTATTTATTATTAACAAAATAAAATTTTATTTCATATATTTTGTTAAATAAATATAAATGTGCTTGATTAAACTATTTTATATTAAAATGTTTAAAATATTATTACCTGGTTAAATTTTTATCCATCTAATAATAATATGAAAAAATAATGATGTATTTTTTTTGTTTTTAAATTATATATAAATTCAAACAAAAACATATTTTCATGTAGGACAATAATTTTAAACGATACTTTCAATTTCACACAAGAAAATTTGTAATACAATTATTTAAATTTAATCCATTTCCTTGATTAAAAAAACTTATTCGATCCCATATTGCCTAGTTGTATATATATATAATTTTATATTTTAACATGCTATATCAAATAAAAATTTGTTTCATGTAATTTGCTTTTATAAATCATTATTTGATTTAAAAGACTCATCTCTTCAATTTTTTTTAAAAAAAATCTTCAGTGTAATATTTTTATTATTTATTTCTTAAGTAGATAAGTTAATTGTTATTTTAAAAAATTATTCTATGCATATATTTTAAATTTAATATTTATATTTTTTAAAATTTTATTTTTTTTCTAGCCATACAATGTATGTGCAATTTGTTAGTAAATCTTATTTTATTTGTATTCTTAATTTACTCTTTAATACTTATTACACATAATATTCACTAATAAACTTAGATAGCTCACCAACTTAGTACTCATAAAATATATAAGTAATGTATCTTTTTGTAATATCATCTTATTAATTTTTTAAATATTTTATAGAAAAAGCAATAAATAAAATATAAAAATATTTGAAGATTTGACTCTTTTAATATTTTATACTCATTTAGGCAAATAAAATACAACCAAATGCTGTTAATTGGAAAAAAAAAATGCTAAGATGGCAATAAAATATATAAAATACATGCAATAAGCTATAAATTACTAACACTTCAATAGTTTATTTTTCAAATAACTACATTTTAAGTGAGCCCTGCACTTTTGGAGAAATCAAACTCTCTTGGATACATAATGTTTTACTCTTCACAATTAAATAGAGTTGAAAAAAAGCCTACTCCACGGGTTGCACTAAAAATTACCCTTTTAGTCGATTCAATTAAATTCAATGCAGGTTAAGTCTGAAAAACCCATAAAAGTTGAGTTTTATTTATTTTAAACATCAATTTTATAAACTTATATATATATATATATATATATATATATATATTCTTTTTAAACTTATTATACACTACATTGTTCATTGAAAAAATTATGAATGCCCTTAATTTTAAATCGAGACTTTTGTCACCTTCAGTTATTAAGGCTTAATTTAAAGATATAAAAACAGGAATTTTTTTAATAGAAAATATTACATAAAACTTATAAAAATAATAAATATTTTTTTTAGCAAAACAGATAATTATTAATTGTTTAAATTTCATTCTTGAGCTTAGGATTGGGCAAAAAATTTAATTTACAAGTTCAATTCATAACCAATATTAAACTAGTTTTAAAAATCTAGATCTATATTAAATAAGTTTTTTTATTAAATATATTTATGTAACAGATTTAGGAATCTAAATCAGATTTTTTTAATTTGTTATCTATATGAATGTATAGAAGTACTCTCTTATGTCTTTACATTTTAAATCTCCTTGTTATTTCAGTTCACAAAATTTTATTATGAAATATATTTTATGATTAATATTTTTTTATTAATTTTAATTTTTATAATTAAAATTAAATATTTAAAATAATATTTTTAAAATATAATTATTATATTAAAGATATTAAAATATAATAAATAATTTTAAATTAATTATTATTATTATTTTTATATTTATATTTATTCAATTTTTAAAATATTATAATATAATAATTTTATTATTATTTATATTATTAAATTTTATTTTATGTGTTTTAATTTAAGTTTTTATCATCAATTCCATTTATTAAAAATAAGTTAAAAATGATAATAAATATTTTATGAATTTCTATAAATATAATATAATTAATAAATATTATTAAAATCTTCTTAAAAAAATGCTAATTTAATACAATGATCCATATAACAAATTAATTTTACTTTAAAACTAAATTCACAAATTATTAAAAATTAATTTTTCCTTGAAAATTAAATTTAAAATTAAATTTAAAACTAATTTAATGTAAAACAAAATTTAAAACTAGTTTTAACAAAAAATAATTTTAAAATTAATTTTAAACTAAATTTAAATTTTAAAACTACTTTTAAATTGATTAAAAAAATAAAATAGTTTAAAATTCAATCTGTATAATTAATTTGTGCGGTAAATAAAAGATAAAAAGTAAAATATATGCAAATTTATATTAATTTAATATAATATAAAATAAAAAATTATATTATTAATAGATTAAAATATATAATATATTTTATCAGACTTAAAACTAATTTTAAATTGATTTTAAAAAAATTAAAATAGATTAATTTAAAATCTAATTTATATAATTAAATTTTAAATAGATTTAGATTAATTTTTAAAAAATTTAATCTATGGACACCTTTGATTAAGTTAACATTTGTGATAAATAGTAATTAAAAAACTTGTTTAAACTGTGATTTAGATTTGATTCATGGCTACGAGGATGGATTTGTAAGAGAGTAGTGATTGGTAGATTTGTGTGGATTGGAAAAAATGAGGGATGGGAGAATAAGCAAAGGGGAAGGGGGTGTGAGGTGGACGATGGAGAGAAAGGGGTGGTGGGTGTGGTGTGGTGGGGTCTGCTTTTGTTTTGTGATTGGTGGAAAGCGAAGGAAGAAGTGGTCATTAGAAGGAGGATATGTGAGTGGATACTTTTCTTCAACTTGCCTTTCGGAAACATTGCACTCTCCACTCACTTTATCACATTTCCTTTTCGTCCATTTCTGTCACCTTTGCCTCAATTTCAGTTCATACCACATGCATTTCTCACGCCTCCCCCCTTTGGCCCTCTATTTTCTTTATAATCTCTCTTATTCTTACAACTTTCTGATATGTGAGTGGATACTTTGAGCCATGCTTCACAAATCAGGGGGTACGGTGGCACATGAGTGTGAGTCGAACTTCTGATGGAGATGTCATCGGAAAAATTGACACTAATGAATAATCGAAGATGAGACACCATTTTTTAAAACAATCTGTTCACCGATAGGCAGTGGAGCCTTTGGGTCTTCAGGAATTATGACCCAACGGTCTTTGTCGTCGGGAAAGGAGGATGGAATAGGCCCATTGGATATGAAGAGAAGAATAAGGATAAATAAGTAAATTACTTCGTAAATATTTAAAATATGTTTAAAAATTTATTTATAAATATTAATTTATGAGTTAAATATCTATTATTTAGTTTATCAATTAAACATAAAGAATTTTACAGCACAAATTAAATATTAACATTTTAAATAAATTAAAAACCAAATTAAAAAAGATTAAGAATTTATTATAAAAAGTGTTACTTTTATTAAGATTAAAATATAAATGAGCTTAAATTTTACATTAAAATTAGTTTCGGTACACCTAAGATATAAAATAAAATCACTCTAAAATAGACAGACGCAATTGTATATTCTTGATACCAAACTTCGATGATAAAACACACTTTAAGAGGTTGTTTTTCTCAAAGTAAAAAAAATGTGAATACAAAAACAAGCATTAATAGGACTGAGAGTCTGTTTCTAATACTACCTGAACGAAATGCACTTTACGAGATGTATTATTTTAGGCTATATTTGATAGTTTGAAAGAAAATAAAAGAAAAAGTGTTTGAAGGGAGAAAAAGGAAAGAGAAGAAAAATTAAATCTCTTTCTTTGTTTGAATATTTAATAGTGAGGGGAGGGTGACAGGAGATTTAAGAATGTAAATAACATTATTATTTTTAATATTTTTTATTTATATTTTTATTTTTAAAAATATAAAAATTAAATATTTTTTAAAAAATTAATGTTTTAAAAATTAATATTTTTATTTTTTATAAATTTTAAAAAAAATTCTCACTCTAAAACTAATATATTTTGAAAAAAATGATTTTTTTCTATTTTTTCTTTATTTTTTCAAAAATAATTTTTTTTTTAAATTTAAGTTTTTATTTTTTAATAATTTTAAAAATATTCTCACTCTAAAAATTAACATTTTTTTAAAAATATAGTTTTTTACTTTTTTATAAAATTAACATCACACTTTTTTAAAAATATTTATTTTTTATTATTTATTTAATTTAATAATTAATATAAAGAAAATATTCTAATAAACTAAATAAAAGAAAGATATTTTAAATTATATTTAACTCATTAAAACCTCTAAAATTTCACAAAATAGAAAAATTCAAAAATTTAAGTTTAGAAGGATTTTGAGGATTTAGAAAAATATTCTAACTCTTTTTTTTAAATTAATTAACTCTCAAATAAAAATTAAATTATTCTATTTCATTTCTTTTCTTCCCCTCTCCTCTTAATCATAATTCCTGAACAAAATCTTAAATTAAAAAAATTAATATTTTAGAATAAAAGGACTGAAAATTAAGACAACAAATTTTATTTAATTAGCACACATTCTTTAGATAATTCTAATTATTTCATAGAATATATTTAATAATTTTAATTAGCATATTTAAGATATTTTTGTAATAAGATTGAAGTTCATTTAAAACTAATTATTTCTTAAATAAATTTAAATATATTCAAAATATGATTTGAAAATTGTTGAAAAAGTCAAATACCTCACAAACTGCACTTAAAGGTAAAACTAAATAAATTTTAATGTAAAATTATATTTTAAGCTAAAATTATTGTTTGTTAAGGAATAAGAAAAGAGGAATTTAAACGAAGAAAAGAAACATCTTATTTTAATTCACAAAAGGTAGAAAATAGGTGATAAAAGGTAAAATAAATAACATTATTATTATATACCTAATATATATATATAATTAAGGTTAAGCTTGTCTAGTTAATTTATTTTTTCCTTTTTAAATTTCTACTTATAGAAGTGAGTTGAAGTTGATTGAAAAAGGATTTTGGTTTCTCTCCTCTACTTATTTTCGACAAAACAATATTGGAAGGAGAATATTTGATTCCAAAATCAAATTTCAATCAAGTTATTTTACTTGTTTTATTTTCTCTTCACAAAATTTTTTTTAGTATTTTTAAAATAAAAAAAAGTTAAATGGACCTTTTAAATGTGAAAAACAAAATACACATAATCAAAATTAGATGGAGGAGTATGGAGAGTCCCAAGAATTGAGTTGCGTCTCATCTCCCAATTCTTCAATTCATAGATGATTGTAAAGATCATACATTTTATTCCTCAACATATATCCAACAAACCTCAATTTGTCGAGTTTATAGTGAATGATTGAATGCCGATTTCTTTGAAAGTTAACAGAATTAGTAGCTGTGACGGCATAATCTTCAAATATTTAAGCATACCGGATAGGGAAGCCGAGCACTATAGTCGAACCTCACTGCAGGGAAACAATAAATTTGTCATAAAACCACTTCATGCCAATTTCTTTTTAAACCTATTGATAATTAGTACTACTAATTTGGATTTATCTGTTTCAAAATGAACCATGTATTTTGAAGGCAACGTACAGAGTGATAAGTTCTTAAACAGATAATATTACAGCTACCATTAACAGTTATCAGTTGCAACTTAGATGTTTTCAGTTTCTTATACTTGATATCTTTTACATTTATCAACAAATAGTAGTAAAGTACTTTTATTACAATGCCACATGGTATTTTACCTTTTTTAAATATTATTTAAATTTATTACTTTTTTTTTATTTTGTTTAATTTTATTTATCTTATTTTTACGTTACTTGATATTTTTGTGTTCTATTTTTTACTTTTTAATTATGTAATTATAATCTTAGGAGAAAAGACTATAAAAATATAATAATATTGAATAAAGTATAAAATTGTTTTTTTTATACCTGTTAACTTGAGAAAATAAAAAAATCATCAATACTCAACATCATAAAAAATCTATTTTATATATTTTATTAAATAAAATATTAAAATCATTAAAAATAAATATTTTATTTAATGAAAATTTTAAAATTTAATGAATAGAAGAGAATTAAATAATTTTTTTTGACATTCAAGACCTTTTAATTTCTTTTGTACTCTAAATTGTAAGTATGAATTTCTTCATACACCCGGACATTACAAATAGTGCGTTGATAGTGAATGGTCCTTAGCAAACTTTTCAACACAGCAAAGAACCAAGCTTAATTACCCAACTCAGCAAATTTTCTTTCTTAAATAAAATAAAGAAGAAAAAAATGTCAAAGATAAAAAAGGTGAAAAGAAAAAGTTAAACAATCAAAGGGTTTAACAAACCCAACCCAAGTTGATGATGGTAACCTCACAAATTGCTGGAGACAAACAAGATAAACCAAAGTCAAAATGAGGCAAAATGATAGCTCAGGAAAATGATGAACCTCTCTTTTTTTGGGGTATAAAAAGGCCTAGATGTGTTAAGTTTCAAGAGCTCCTGGAGTTAAGACATGTTTCAAGGCTCAAAAAGAGCTTATAGAAATACCTCCAGATCATCTACCAATAAGATCCTCACATCGGCAGTGACGTTATGGCCAGAAAGAATCCTAGAGCTAAATATGAGATCCACCAATGTTGTCAACACTTTAGATCTTTCCAGTCCCTTATTATTAAATTGAATACTTGGCTAGAATTTTCGTATTCCGAGCCTTTTATTTATAGAAGTTAGAGCTCCTTTGGCATCAAGTGCTGAAGCTTAAACATTATTTCTCTCGCACCCTCGCTCCCAAAAAATTATGTATCTTCACATATCAATACAGTTGGGTTAACTTGCATCCTGTTACACGAAAATTTCTTCACAGTCACCCTTTACCTTCATATGCAATGTTATCCTCCTTAAAGCAACATGAATATCATTAATATTTGGATGTGATGGATCCCCTCCAACGAAACAATGTGTTTTGTTTCCAATCTGCAACCAACTATAAGCCTTTTGTTTCTTAACTCCTTGCTCTTTCATCAGAACCCTGATTCTATTGACATCCTTCCACATGCCAGCAGCAGCATATATATTAGATAGCATAACATAAGCACCAGAATTAAATGGATCAAAATTCAAAATTCTTCTAGCAGCCAGTTCCCCCACTTTCACGTCTAAATGAACACTACAGGCTGCAAGAATAGCACCCCAGATGCTAGAATCTGCCTTGAATGGCATCTCCAGGATTATTTTGCAAGCTCTCTGGATCTGACCTGCTCGACTCATCACGTCAACTAAGCAAGCATAGTGTTCAGGCCTTGGTGGAATACCATAATCATGAACCATCAACCTAAACAGATTCATGCTCTCACCAACCTTCCCAGCACGACAACACGCAGATAGCAAACTCAGAAAAGTTATGCCATCAGGTTGAACCCTCAATGTTACCATCTGGTCAAAGTAGGAGCGTGCTTTGTCATAGAAACCATGCTGTGCAAATGCAGCAATTATAGTGTTCCATGAAACGAGGTCCGGATGGGAAATTTGTCCAAAAGCTAACTCAGAATCAATAATTCCACCGCATTTGCTGTACATAGTAATCAGGGCATTACTCACAGACAAATCTGAATCAAAGCCATGCTTAATAACAAGGGCATAGGTCTGTCTTCCTTCTTCATGTGATGCAAGACTTGCACAGGCAGTGAAAAGTGAAACAAAAGTCAAGTCATCGGGTTGCATACCAGTTCTAACCATTTGTGAAAACAAATTCAGTGCCTCTTCCCCTCTCCCATTTTGGGCATAACCTACAAACGGTGAATAAATTATGAAAAGATGGAATAATAATAAAGAAAAAAAATGCAATGACAGAGTAGAAGAAAAGAGCCTCCTCCTCCTAGGACCGCAACACGTTATTGTTTTTCTCCCTCCTCAGCAGTTTATTCAAAATATGCTGCAAATGGATCAAGCTTTTCTAAAGTGAGCTTAATTTTAGAGCAAGAAAGGGAGGTGCATTTAATCTAGCTGTATTTACTAAAGACCAAGGTTGTTTGTTTGTTTATGCTTAAAAGAAGTGATTATACGATACAACATTCTTCTTAGAAATTTTTTCAAAAGCTATTATTTTTAGCTTAAGAGAAAAGTAATGGTAATTTTTTAAAGTTTTTTTTAAAAGAAAAGAATATTAACGTACTATAAGAACATTTTTGATTAAATATAATTAGTAAATCTTAATCATTACAAGCCCTTATTTAAAAGATTTGCACCCTTATTCATGCATGGTCATATTATATTACTTATTACTTGCATAACATAAAAGCTGGAGAGGATCCTTTTTTTTTTTCCAAAAGATTTGTGCGATTTTTACACATTTTAAAACACATCCTTTAACTAAAAAAAAAATCCATTTAAAAAGCCTCAAACGTACCGGCTGAAATATGCAAACTACTGGTGGTGGGTACAACACATAATGGCCAGAAGGCTGAAATATCGAATGAATAGGAGAATGAGAACACTTGGCTTTAAACGCGTACCAGTTATGATTATATTCCAAGAAATGCGATCTCTGAATCGAATCTCTTGAAACAAAGTCATAGCCTCTTCCATCTTCCCATGTTTACAAAACCCAGTAATCATAGCAGTTCTTGCAACATCATTCTTCTGCGGCATTCTTTCAAACACTTTCCACGCTTCTTCATACAAACCATTCTCCACGAGACCATTGATCATCACCGTCCACGTAACCGCGTTCCTGCAAGGCATCGCATCAAACAGCGCCCTCGCGCTTTGAATTCCACCACCTCCTTCCATCCTCGCGTACCCATCGATCATCGTGGTGTACGACACGACGTTCGGAAATGGCATCTCTTCGAAGAGCTTCTGCGCTTCCCTCACGCGCCCGAACCTTACGAGTCCCGAGATCATGGCGTTGTACGACGCAGCGTTCTTCTCCGGTGTGGCGGAGAAGTAGCGGAACGCGTCGTCGAGCATGTCGTTTTGGACGCACGATGCTATCATGGAGTTCCAGGAAACAACGTTTTTGAGTGGCATGGAATTGAAGAATGTTCTGGAATGTTCGAGAAGGTCATTTTGCCAGTAGGTGGAGAGCATGGTGTTCCATGTGACGACGTCTTTTGTGGGCATTCTGTCGAACAGTTTGCGCGCGGCGTCGACATTTCCGGCGCGTGAGAGAGCGGCGATGTTGAGGTTCGCGTGGTACACATCGCGAGTGGAGAAAAGGTTGGCGAGCACAAAGAGGGAGGGGCACTGGCGCACAGACACAGTGGAAGATGAGGTTTGGTTTATCAGTGAAACTGAGACTAGGCCAGTGAGCATGGAGTGTGCGCAACTCACCAACCCCTAATTCATATTTTGTTTAGGAATATATACATGAAATATATTATTTAAGTAGAAATTAATTTTACCAACTGTGGTCGTTGATATTTCTCTTAATACATGTTTTATATTCAAAATTTGTGTGAAAAAATACCAGTGGTCTTAGAAAAAATATTTTTAATGATCTATTAGGAGGTGCTTAAGGTTTCACTTGCGCTACCCCAGCCTGATTTTAATTCTCTCCATAAAATAATAATAAATAAATATATCTGGGCTTAATTGACTGCATTTTGCCATTGTTTGGGCTCGGGCTTGGCTTATTGTCTGGAGCACCCTGCCATTAATTGTTTCTAAAGGTGTCACATGGATTAATCTTAATTAATTTAGCTTTAATTTCTGTGAAATAGAATAAAAAAATTTATGAGGCCGAAAGTTTATCATCTCTTGTGGGGCAAAAAAAAGCCTGCAGATTAACTGGGTTAGGACTAATCCATAAGTTGATTGTAATTAAAAATGTTATTATAATTCATTAAAAATATTTATTTTATATAATATATTTTTTATTATAAATTAGTAGATAAATAAAGTTACTTAAAAAATAAATGAAGATTATTAAATTTTTATAATGTTAAATATTTAGAATAAATTATTGTTATTAAATAATATTAAATAAAATATAATTTATTATCAAATTAAGTTATATATTTATTTAATTTTTATATATTATTGATAATTATTCAATCATAATAATATTTTTTTATTTATATAATTTATAAATAATTTTTTAACACATCATTTTACAATTTTATTTGAGTATTAATTATAAAATTTTTTACATTTTAATATTTTTATATTATTATTTTTTATTTTTTTATTTAGTTTAAGAGCATTATATATTTAATAAATATTTTTAAAGTTACAATGAGATATAAAACTGAGTAGTAACGATAACTAAATTTATTAAATTATCTATTATCATCATTATAAAAATTATAAACATATGATACTTAATATTGCAAAATTCATTAATACAAAATAACTCATAAATTTAATAATGCTTGCAAATTTAAATTTTAACTCATCTTAATTTAATAAAATTAATAAAAAAATAATTTTAAAATATAATTTATATATTTAAAATATAAAATTTAAATTAAATAATTAATAAAAATAATAAATAAACGCGTCTTTTACTATAAAATAGTATAATTTTTTTTAAAAAAATGAACTAACCCATCTTTAACTCTAACTCCCCTCTCTCTTTCTCTCTATACATATATATATATATATATATATATATATATATATATTATAATATTAATATCAATATTAATATTTTATCTTACGAAAATTTTAAAAAATCCCATTTATTTTAACATTTTTGTGCACTTTAGTTAATCTTTGCACTAGGTACATAATTATAGATTACAAAACTCTCTCCCTTTTCTTCACTTTTCTGTTTGATATTAATTTCTTCTAATATGGCATATGCTTTCAAGATTTTAGTTCTAGTTATTATGATCAAACTGAACGCTGTTTGTTGTTTCATTTAATTTTTTTTTATTTGTTTAGTTGTGATATTTTTTAAAATTTTTAAATTCTTTGTGTTGGTCCCAAAACCGTGGCCATGCTTGGGTTTACCTGTGTAGTTTGGCTTATAATTCAGCGTCCAGTGAGCTTTTCAAACTGCAGTTAGACCGTGCCTAATCTGACTTAACCTGATTCGTGTGTAATGGGATATCAACATGGTGACAAAATAAAAGGGATATCAACATAGGTTGAGTCGGACTGCTATAAAATGTAGAGTTTGAAAATGAATTTTCAATTAATTCTTAAAATTTTCAAGAACATATCTAAATGTAATTCCCAAAGAATGGAAATACATCGATAGATAACATTACATGTTGCCGGCGAAAGAATGTATAGAAGTTAATAAAAATTCATAAAGGTTTTTTTTTTCTTCAAGGAGATAGAAGACGGATAGATTGTATTTAGAGCAGTTAGTGAGTCTTGGGAGCCGTTTTGTAGTTCAGTTAATGAAAGACGGCATGCACATAGGACTAAAGTTAGGAAAGAGCGATAATTCTTCAGTTTCTAATTCAACTATAGAGAAAATAATGCATGAGCATTTGCCAACTACGATGTTTTTACTTTTTATATCTAAATATGGTAAAACACTAAAATTGAATATACATGGTAAGTAATTTACTTTCGAGTTTTGACAGAATTAATACATCCTTCTCAACCAAAGTTGTTTCACCACCGTCCAATTCTGCTCAAAAAAGGTAAAAATTAAAAAGAACTTCCTGTTTTTTTTCCTTTGCAAAGCTATGAAATATGAACAAATACAACTGATTTTAAACTAAACTACTATCTTGCCACGTTACCAAAAAACAAGACTACCTTGCCACGACCAAACACAAGAAAAGTCACCAGGCACTCATCATCACCTAACCTTAAAAGTAAAGAGCCAGCCACCAAATACAGCTTATAGATCAATGAAGCAGGTGGGGTCGAATCAAGCAACACAACAAATAGAGCTGCAGAGGCAACCATAGCCAACGATTTGTTTTTTCCATCTGAAAGCCCAAGACCCACACCACAAATACTCGTAAAAATGTCGCAGGAAAGGTCAACTCTTACTGTGTTTTGTATTCCTTTGATCCGAGAATCCTTAGTTTCCAAAGCCTGCATATAAACCTAACATTTTACTATTTTTAAAGTCCCAATCTTATGTTTCAGTAAAGTGAAAGGAGTCAGCAACGTCAAAGTGCTTGGCAAGTTGCACAACAGCAGAACGCACGGCTTCAGACGTTGGTGCAACGGAAGTGGGTAGATGGGGTAAGCAAAGTGGCAGATACTGTTCACTTTCCTCACGTGGGCAGAAAAAAGAGATCACGGATCGGCAGAATATGAATCTGTACATGAATGATACACGTCATTCAACAATTCCATTCAGTAACCTCAATTTAATAGCGCGTGAAGTCTAGATATTATTTTGTCGTTCACCAAAACCAACAAAGCAATAACCAATTGAAATAAAAAAGTGACTGCATCGGCTAATTCATTAAAAACCTAGAGTATTTACCTTAGAATAAGCCGTCTTAAAAATGGATCACTTATAACCTGCGCCCATACTATATCCATGATAGTTGATGAGCATAGAATTATTTCCCACTCAGTGAAAGAACTAGCGATTATGTTCTCTGCTTCAATGAAGACATCCTATATAGAGGTTAACACAATAATTAGGCCAACAAGTTAATAAGAGAAATATTAAAAATTATTCACGTATACTTACTGTATCAGCCTCATTGGGGAAGAGGCCAATCATTTGACAAAATGCTGACAAAGGAGCAGTCAGAAAAAAGGTAAATTGACCTCCATTACTTGAATTCACATCAGATGGATTCTTGAAAATCGGTCTTAAAGGAGAAAGAAATAGAGCAGCTGTTTCTCCCCTTTCAGCACCATGTAAAACCTGCAATAATTTGTTACGTAAACAATCAATCAAGGCATGTCAATGTAAATAACATGGGTCAATCAATCCACAAGCCAACGAAAGACAGAATCTTTTAATTCCTATCAATTCCAATATACATTCAACATGGACAAGCTAAAAAGCAAAAATTCAATAATGATTGGCTCCCACAAAAATCTATCACAGAATCATTATAACCCAGAAAGATGCTGTATTTATCATTGCTTTTGTAACTACACATGGAATGTTGACAACACCATTTGATGGTTTCTGGTTTTTTCTTTCCACCCCTTCAACTCTGTCCTTGGAGAAAATTCTGCATTCGGGTTCAATTGTTGAAGAAATTCAACAAGGCAGGGTTTCCGATGGATAGTGAGTTAAAATTCATTTTGAAGTGTTAAAAATAAAAAACCCAGATTAGACTAAATACACTAATTACAAATGTCACCATGCCATTAACAAGTAAAATAAAATTTAAGGAATATACAGAACAGCACTTAACAAAATTTTCAGGCAATTCATTCACAAGTTTTGACAAACCTGCCTTGAATGCATGGCTGTTATCACTGTCAATAATCAAGAAGAGAGGTTTCCGAGTGAAGGGGATAAGATCACCAGGGTAGAGGTTACTTGAACCTGATAAATCAAATAAAGCATATATAAGTGCAGCTACAACAAAGGTACTTGTTTCTTCTATAAAATTTAATTAAAACAAACACTAAAAGGGAAGAAAAATAATATATTTTTTTAAACATTTCCTGGAACAATCTGAATAGAAATTTGACATAGAACAGACTCAATGCAAGTACTTACCACCACCTCCCTTGGGACCAAACCACAAATAATTGTCATAATAATTCAATTCTCTCTTGCCATTATTTTGAGATTCGGCAGGTCCAGAATTCTGTCCTTGGGAAGTCTGAGAAAGGACTTTGTGTCTTAAATATTTGGATGAACCTCCGGAATTTTCCACCTGAGACACATTATTAAGACCAGCTTTCCCTGCAAGAGTGATCATGAAGGTAACTAACCTAGTATAACAGGACATTACTAAGACTATTTATACATGAAAAAAGTTAGGGCAAATGTAAACCTGAGGCTGAAAGATATACTAGCACAACACTATCTGGAGGCAGCTCCTCACAAATTGTAGCCATAACCTGCATAATAACATGAGGCTCAATATAAGAAATAACAAATTGTATGTTCAACAGCCAGTGAAAGATTGTATATCAACAGGATGTAAATAGCCATATTTAACTAGTGAAAATTTTGGTATTGATTCATGAATCAGACCACACAGCATGAAGGAAAAAAACAAACACAAGCGCATGAAAGTGTGCACAAACAGACAAGCAAGCATATGGTAATCTATATACACACTGGAACCAATGAAGACACTAAAAGCAGAAAGAATATCCAAGTCATGTGATACGATAAGGCATAAAAATCCCCATGCAATATTAATTGATGCTGACAAGGCCTGGTCACTAGAACAGGATATAAATTTTAGTATATAGACAAGCAAGTATGCAAAACACAAACTTCCTGATATGCTTGAAAACTCACTGCTATCACGTGTGTCACAGATGGACGGTACATGGTAGCCTTTCTAGGATTAGGAGGTATATTTGGATCAGTCATATCTGCAGTAAGATTCATGTCTATTATCCCAGAAGCCCCTGAATGATCAATTGAGTCACCATTCTCCTTAGGTTTAACTGTATGCTTTTGGTAGAATATTCCACTGGGCTCCCATTCTAAACACTGTATCATTCTGTAGATGTCCAATGTAAGCTCAGCAAATTTGACCTGAAAGTGAGAATATATAAAGATTCAGTCCCTTTCAGCTATTTAAGTAATTTATTTACCCAAATTTAAGGACTATTGGGGCCATGAATCAGTATTAACCTCATTTCGATGATAGCTTGCCAACACTGCATCTTGAAATTTTAAAACCCTTTTTGCATGAAAACGAGCAACATAAGGAAGAGAAGCTCGGTGAGTATCAAATGTGGCACAATAACGCATGGGCCTGAAACTAAAGCCCTTATCAACTTGTGTGAATCGGACAATTTCTTGCACCACTTGCTTCCATTCCTTAAAGTTAGTTTCCTGAAAATAAAAAAATAAAAAAATTCACATTCACAAGTCAAACAGCTGATATAGATATATTTATTTCTCTGGATAGATAGTGGAATACAAAACATCAACAAAATATATCATCTTAAAGTAAACCACAAAGTTCAATGTTAATAATGAACATTATGAGTTAAAAAAAATTACAAAACACAATCAGATTGAGAAGTGGAAGCTTGATTTGAATCTTGTACATTAACAACTGAATATTCAAAATAATGCAATTAAATAAATTTGTAAGTGATGGATATTTGAGGCAGAACAATGCAGAGATGAACAAGATCTCACAGGTCAGAAATAAAAAGTTAAAGTAATTTTTAAAACTTATTAAATATAGCCAATTGGACTGTTGTCATGAAAATAATGAAATATTTCGGCACAACATCTACTGATCCAATCATGTGTAAGGCATTTAGGAACCTCAGAATCTTTGGTTTCATTTTGCCAACTGACAGTTTTCACTGTTATATGCTTGCCAACAAGAACTTCATACGAGAATTTCAACATAATGATAATCGAGTTATATGTGTGCCTGGGAGCATATCAAATAGAGGATGCTCTTATAAGAGTAACTAATTTTGACCATACAATCATAAATGTTAGATTTAAGTAAAAAGATCTCAATCTTGCCCATCTATGTTTGGTAGTAAGGTCCAGAATAACTCCTACGTCTCTCGGTCTCATTAGATATGCATCTAATATATATATTGACAAGGTTTGAAAAGAAAATCATCACCGCACCAACAATGTTATTCTGGACAATTGCCTCCCACAGTCATTATTATACCATCATAATCAAAAGTCAACACATGTAATACGTTTAGGAACTTCAAAAGCATTTGTTTTAGTTGGCCCACAGACAGCAATTTCTATCTTTATTGCTCCCTCCATATCAAATTATATCTCTTTGACTGTTTTAATTTGTCTGAAAATGTTTGATACTTAAAATCAAGTAAACTTTATTTATTTATTTTTCTGATTATACCCACATTTATTGATATCTCACCTAAATACATAAATAGATTTACAACTATATCCTAAGTCTTTTAATAATGCTATTTTCAGTTGAAAAAAAGTAGAAACTTGTGTAATTAATAATTTTCTTAATGATTGATATATAGATTTGAAAAGAAAATTATCACGCACCAACAATTTTATTCCAGAAAACTAGCCCCCATACTCAGTATAGCATAATGGAGTATGACTTGAAATTAAGTTGATTCAAGCACTAATATGGTTCTAAAGAGGTAAAGTTTCATCATTTACTCTCTTTAATGCAATAAAACTGAGAGCTTTCAATAACCTTGACATAATCTATTCTAGAAAACACCAGCGATCACTTTCATAGTTCATACAGTAGTCAGGTGTAACCAAAAGAAAAAATTGTAAGGCCTTGAAGATAACCTATTGTAAAACAAAGGGAATGAAAAGTTTGCTTAAATTTTGTATATGTTGGATACCCACCTATTTTCATCCTGGTCCTGGGGAATCACATGTTTATGAAATAAGGATTACATTACTCTTAATTAGAATTCTCCTACACTAACAACGGGATTGCCATCAAATAATGAAACCACATAACTTAATGACATGGATTCTATATTTCTTCCAAAAACAAACTCTGACAGGGAACCAATAACCGTGTATTCTACCATATTAGATGCAAAAACCACAAAGCATTATCACTTGGTGGGGTCGGTACATAGGATCAAATTATTGAATCGTCTCTGTTCTGCTCTATGATGTAGCATAAAACCTAAGACGCTATTCTAATTATTTACAGATGAAACCTACATACTGTAAACCAAATAAAGATACGATGACCAGAACCATTTGATCTACACAGAACAGCATCTCACTTAACCTCTAAGTCAGTATTCTCACCGATGAACTTAAAAAAGGAAGCAACACCAGGCATATCATACGTCGTTACACTCCTAAAACTTCATTAGAAAAAACAAGAAAAGAAAATAAATGAATAATTATTAGTTCACTTTCTTTCCCGGCTTCAATTGAAAATTGAAACTGAAAATTAAGCTAGAAACAGATAAAATTGACAGAACGCGAATCAGTTAAGTTTAGCTCCAATTTCAGAAGAAAAGCAATGCATTACCCGAAAGTTACTCTTGCAATCCTCAACCAAAGCGACGAAACATTCCATGAGGTGCTTGACCATCTCGGTGCGGTTCAAAATCACCGAAACCAACAAGAACCGCGCATAGAACCGCAACTCCTTAGACCTTACTCCCAGATCTTTGATGGAAGCTTCGGATCCTTGGAAGTACCTTCTACTGAGTATAGCTTCGTAGAAGACGTAAGCCTCCACGAGGAACCTACACTCGCTGGTCCTCATGTACTGGCCGAAGTAGAGTTGACCGATTCGACTCGCGATCTCGCCGATTTCCCACCGCTTGAGACCGCACTGAACCAGCTTCACCCGATTCTCTTGCTGGTACTTCCACAGGCGCGTGTACGCCTTGAACACCTTATGGAAGAAGTGGTTCTGGCTCACGCGACCGTACGCCGGCACGTCTCGAACCCTAGCGAACTTACGGTCGGCGTTTTCGACCAGCGCTCGGAACGTTTGCAACGCGAGGTCGTTGTTCTCGGACATGCCTGCCGGAGAAAGAGGAGATGGCTCTTTTTCAGTTCTCCGTCCGGTGCCGGTCCTCGCCGCCGGTCATCGGAGAATTCGAATCGGATAGAGGGAAAACGAGTGATAATCGGAAAATAAAACGAAATGTGTGTTTTTTGTGTCGGAAATGCAATAGAGGAACGGGGAAGAAGGGCGGTTACACTTTTTGTTTGTCAAAGGCTGTGAAAGAAAGTGTATCATATAATTAATTAATTAATTAATATAGAATATATACGAATATTTATATATATATAAGAATGTTAGACTATGTAGATTAATATTTTTATTATTTTTTAATGAAGTATTGATGTTTTCTTTTTTCTTTTAAAAAAACAAGGAAATTTGCTGTGCCTGTCTTTCGCTTTTGCTTTTTTTTGGTTTTCTTTTTCGCTGTTAGAGAGAGAAACGCAAGATGGGGTTAAGATTTTGGATTATTTGATGGAAGGGACTTTCTTTCCAACCAATTTATTTGGCTTTTACACAAGAGTGGCACCAATTAAGTCTTTTGTTATGTGAGAAATGAAAGCAAACACAGAACTATGGGGTTGGCTCTTTCCCAGTCTAGGGGCAGTACTCCTTGCACCACCAATGGCCCAACGATTATTTTATTGTTATGTGTTAATTAATTACTTGTATAGATTAAGGAACATTAATGATTTTAGATGGAAATCTTAATTAATATATTATTGAAAAATAATTTCAAAAGTTCTTAATAATTTTATTAGAATTATTTTTAAACAATATTTTTATTTTTTTTTATGATATTACTCTGTTCTTTTTTATATTTTACTAAATTTATTTATTATCGATTTTTGTAAAATTAATGAATAAATATTTTTTATAAATTTATCTTTAATAATTACCGTGTGTTTGGTTGAAGAATATGCTCCTGCTTTTTAAAATTTTAATTTTTTTCTACTAATTCACATTTATTAGTATGATAAATAAGCGATCAATAAAAAAATTAAGTGATAAATAAGGGATAAATACAATTTATAAAAAGTGAGAAATAAAAAAGGAACAAATAAAAAAATTAAGTAATATTTCTTTTATAAAAACTAAAATATCAATATTTTAAAAATTTTTGCACTAATCCTTAAATGTCAAAGAGGGAAAAAATGAAGTAAGCAATTATAGCATTTTTTATTAGAAATTTCAAAAGATTAACATATTTATGATGACTCTTAAATAAAAGAATTGAAATGTTATTTGTTTTGTTTTTCAAAAATGTATTTAAGATCATATAATAAAAAAAATAATATTTTTTAATAAAAAGTATAGCATTTAATATTATCAGTATATTGAATCTAATAAGTTTAATAAAAATATTATATATATTTATTCTTATTATTATATTTTGATGTATGTTAAACAAATATTATTTATTTAATTAAACAAATACTTTTAAGTGTAGCTAAATTCTATTGATTTTTTTCTAGCTGTATTTGCAGGCAAAATTGGTCAAACTCTAAAATACACGTATTCCAATTTTCGATGATAAAGAAAATACTCCGATAAACAAAGGATAGAGACACTCCTTAATATGGTCCTTGCTGGCAAACCTGGAACTAATTTTTTTTTTCCGTGAAATGAAAATATCAAACTAATCACGAAGCCAAGCTTGCTCTTTCTATCTCTTCGCGCTGCGTTGGCTCATATTTAATTGAGCCATTGTCCATTCATTACATCATAAATGCAGTCTTTGAGTGTTGGACCTTAATTGATTCATCATGATATTAATTAATTTGGAATTTAGTTATCTGTCATTTTCACACATCTATTTACAACTGATAGAAATTTCACATATTATAGTATAGTATATATATCTAAAGCACTATTGTTTCCGTTTTTTAAGTGTAATGTACGTTACAAAAAGAAAGATAGTATGAAGTACATTTACGAATAACAAGATATGGATAACGATTCAGCAAATTTAGAGAGGCAAGGTTTGTTTCTGAGGAACATGTCACTATAAAAATCAGCCTCTCAAGATTTGTACAAATAAGTTTCAAATAACAAGTACACGTAAATAAATGAATATGTTTATCTACATCCAATTTGATGGAATCAAAACGAGTAGAAATTAAAAAAAAAACAAGTATACTGTTATGATTTATTACAAGTAAAAGTTAAGGTTGTTAACTGGCATGCATTAAGAAAGTTTGGGATTTTGAATATTATATGCCTAATCAAAGATTTTGTTTTTGGCAACATTTAAGCCTAATCTGTTTATTGGACCATCATATCAACTTCTGTAATTGGGTTGGTGCGTGAAGATTTGTGCATGATGTGCCCAATGATAATAAACAATAATAATCTTAATCATTCTCTAATTGCTAGCAAAGGCATATGAGTTAATAATTGAGTTATGAAGTCAGAAACACCCTAGCAGTTGATGAATGATGATCAGCATTAGGAACCATTCAGGGTAAGACCGTGGTTGTTTTGGCCTGTTGAATGTGTACAGATAGAAATGCTTTTTAATAATCAAGAACAGGCCACGCTGTTGAATACTTGAGCTTAGAATTTGGGAAGAACTTCAACATTGACCTAGGATTCTAGGTAATGGTAATGATTTCTCCTTTTCCTTTCACTGCAACCCCCCCCCCCCTTCTCTCTTTTCCCTTTTTGGTTCACTGGTAAAGGGTTGGTTAATCATGAGATCTGTGGTCCAAATTAAAGTAGTCAATTTATAAATTTGACATATATTTATATGAGAAATTTTACTCGTGTTAGAAATGGAAAAAATAGGGTAGGTCAGTGTTTGATTGTATCAAAAAGGGGTGTGAATGTGATGATATGCACTAATAATGACTAAACTAATAAACTCGTTTTCTTCCAGCCTCACTTTAAAATACCTAATAAGAAATCTGCATAATTGTGGTTATAATATGCCAAATTTGTTTGGCCCAACTCACTGAGCTTAGTGATTCACAAATTGAGAACTCGACAACCATCATGTGACTTGGTTGACATCATTCTTTATCTCCTAGCACCATCAAAATGAACATATAAAATACCTTGACAACCACCACACGTCCCAAAGTTGGATGTTGTGGGTTCTGATGGTTACTATGTTGTACAAATTCGTAGAAATCAAGGGAATGCATGTTTAATTTTTTAAAAAATGATTTTATTTTTTATAGAGAATTATAAAAATATAATATCTCTTTACTTTGTTTTTAATACTTATATTGAAAACAATTAAATTTAAAATTATTTTTACTGTTTTTTATACTTAAAAATAGGAAATAAAGTAAATTATTATGACATTTCTTAATTATTTAGGAGAATGGAAAAAAATTGTTTTTTTTTTTTTTCGTTGCATCATACTCCTAAAACAAAGCGGAGTTAAGGGAGTTTGAGGAAACATTACAAATAATACACAGCATATCTAGATAGTAACAACAAATCGTCCTTGCATGCATGATGAAGTTCCACTTGCCCAAAATGTTGCATAATCAACATGCAAAATTTCTCCCAAAAACGGGTGAGAAGTGGTGGAACTACGGAGTTTTCTGGAAGAGAGACAGTAGCTAGCATATAGTAGTAAAGTTCGATTTTCCGTCTGTTAAAAATTCAAACAATTCGATCATTACTTTTCAGATTCTTAGGTGTAATGGATGTTTTTTTCAATGGGTTGACTTTAACAAAAAAAAGACACGAGGCATAAGGAGCCTGAAATCTATGAAGAGGGTGGCCATATATTTTAGTCCGACCAAATAATTCACCTTTTTCTATGTTTCCAAATTGAGCTATATCGATCATTGGATCTGTTAATTTTCACAGCTGTCTACACATTGTTAATCTCAAAAGTATGTTGATCTCTCTCCCCCACATTAAATTGAGTGGTTAAATTCAATTACTATTACGCTTGTCTTATAGATTAAATGAGACCTCTTTCGTCCACACAACTTGTTTTATTGTTTATCACTTTATCCATAGCATATATAGCTACTCTTTCCACCCAACAATTATCGAAGTTGTTGCTGCGTGCAATAAAATCTGGAGTTGTTGCATCGTGAGTGTTTATTGTCTGGATTGGGTCACTGGGCCCATGGCTTATTGTTTTTACAATTTTTATTACAAATAGAGTATTATAATTATATCTTTTTTCTCATATAAAAGAACTTTTCTTTGGATTGAATGAGATGAAACTTAAAAAGTCGTCTAAATTGGCCCATTGCCTCCAGCGTGGGTTTTTAAGTTTCAACAGCAGTCATTTTCTCTTGCTTTATTAGGTAGAAGCTTTCCCTACTCACTAATATCGTGTTCCTTTCGTGGGACATATCCTGTCATGTAACAAGCCGAAACCTTCATTTGAATATATATATATCCACTTTCATTTATGCACATCCTAGCTGAGAAGCATATGAACATTTTGACTACAGTAATAAGCTTTCAGAAACACACTTGTATAATTATTTTTTTCAAAAATTGGCGCACTTGATTCAATGTCTGAATCTAACTATTGATTTGTTGCAACTTTTTCTCTCTGCATTGCTGATCACTGATCGGTCAAGTTTTTTTCTTCTATGCTTTTTAAGAAACTCGATTTTATTGTTCATACATTGGATGGTTTTTACACATGCACTTTTTTTTATACCGTTGACAAATATTTCTCACAAAACTTATTTAGATGATTTAGTGTGTATCAAAAACAGTCCCTAACCATTAAATAAATATAGACTTATTACTGATCAGCAGCGGCTCAAGAATTTTTAGGGCTTAAAACAAATTTAAAAATAATTTTTTTTATTAATAAAATAATTTATTATTATTAGTTAGAAATTATGGCTCATTTCAATAAAAATTTAATAATTAAATTAAATATGTGAATTAAAAATTATTTTTAAATTTAATTTTTTTAATTTTTAAATATATATTAAAACTAAAAAAAAATAAATTTGGAGAGCCTAAAGTCTATGCCTTACCTGCCCACCCTTGTAATATAAATATTAGAAAAAAAATAAATATTAAGTTTGTATAAATATTCAATAACTTTGTATAAATATTAGAAAAAAATATAAAATAATTTAAATTAAAATTACATTTGTAATCTACATTAACTTTGAAGATAACTTTTCTCAGATTTTATTTGAAGTTCATATTTTATTTATAAAAAATATTTTAGAATAAGGTTTAATATTGTCATTAAAATGCGCATCAATTGT